TGTACATCAGAAAATGCGCCTTGAGGCATGGAACATATGTACCAAATATGCCAAAGATGTCTACAAAATTATCTCAGTTATTATTAAAAAACTGATTATTTTTGAAAACTTTGCCACCCTGTATCTCAAAAGTTAAGGCGTTTAGGACATACGTCAATAGGAAGTTTTTTTCTTAAAACGGGTCTAAGAATTACCTCCTTGAATATTAGCATGTGTTTAAGGAACACCCTGTATATGCCAGTTTTATTGAAACGTGCCTGGGCCCATAACCTGTTTGAAGATACTTTATTTTTATGATGAGAACTTTATGGAGACTTTATAATTTTTATTTCTAGTAAAATATAACAACTGAACTTGATAATATATATCAACATACAACCATAGAAACATCGAATCAAAAATATATAAATATAATGTGGCTCAAATTCATTTTTGTTGTTTATCTCCAACACGACTCTGCCACATTGATTGGAAGAGGCTGACAATTATCGGCGACTTTGCCTTCGATTAGCTGGGATGTGCATTGGTCTCCAAAAAAGTAATCTTCTGGACAAAAATACGTTTTCTTTAATACTGGGCATGGACTATCTTCGAACTGGATATTGTATTTTGCTCGTACTAGGTATTATCGAATCATGTAAGATATTTAACTTCGCTAATATGATAGCATCTTCTAAATTATCGATAAAATTAATGATATTTTGGCAGTCAAGGGTTATTTGCGAAACTATTCCCTGAAAACTAATGTAGTTCGTCAGATATAATTTTGTATATCTCCTGCCATTTTTGGCCAATAAAATCGTGAACTGAGGAATGTCCTCATTTCATTTATACCTCTATAACAGGTTTTCTTAATGTGATAACATTTAAGTTTCTTTTTTTGTTCGTTCAATGTTTTTACATCCTCCAAGAATGTTGGACAATGAACAATTTTGAATGAAGAATTCTTGAGTAAATTTTGGATTATTGTATTGAACATTTGTGAGACTGCTGGGTTTTGAAAATGGAAGGCAAATTTATGATGCACTGTTTGGAACCTTTGGTGTAGTAATGAATATTACTGGAGTTTTTTTCCAACACCAAATCGTTATTTCTTACACCTCGACACGTGTTTCGATCACCAAGTGATCAAGAGCATCCGCTGCTTGGTTGCATTTTCCTTTTTTATATTTTACAACATAGTCAAATTCCTCTAATTTCAAACGCCATCGCACAAGTCTTGAATTGGGTTCCTTCAGTGAGAAAAGCCACTGAAGGGGTTTGTGA